AATATATAGATCAATATTTTATTTTATATTCAACTTTTAATATACCAGATTTGTACAAAAACATCTGTTTCTTAAGGTCTTAAGGCCCTTCACTAAATTATCATGTTTTCATTCAAGTTTATGTAATTATACTGAAGAATATGGGATTTTCAAAATGTAAATGTAATCTTTTATGAACATAATATTTTATCAGTCATTGAATAATATGTTGCATCCGAAGTTAGAATGTAGACTTGCTACAAATTATATTTTATTACCCAATATCAAATGTCAGTCAATCAGAGCAATAACTAGGTCTAACTACATGGATCCCTTATTTGCCCTCATATGATGTATGTCACATTTCCACCTGTTTTAAGTCTAGCTGACTAACCCCAGTCCCCTTTTAATCTGGGCATTTGAGCATTATTTATCTGAATTCTTCTTACAATTAACTACTTTCCTTTAATTATTATATACTCTTCATTTAATATCATGAATAGGCTACAACGTGCCATTTTATTATTACATATTTCTTCAGAATTCATCACCATTTCATATAAATACAACCAACATATGAAGTAAAATATTTTGTAATTCCAAATCATTAAACAAAGGCAAAATTGTATAAAATTGTTAGACTTTTACCACTGTGAGTTTTGTTCTAGCTGTGGTGACTCTTTTGTTCTTATGTGTATATACTAGGGTAGGAGGTTTCACAAATGCTCTTGTTAGCTGTAATTGAACATAATTACTACTTGTCAAGAGGAAAGCCAAACCTCGTTATGGAAACCAAAGGAAAAACCAAGAACTAGTGAAGTCTTGGATCTCAGAGGAGAAGCTACAATTGCCACATTACTAAAATAGCATAGTCCCTAAACATTCTAAATATTTGTTCTCATATACAATTAAGTCCAGTCTTCAGATCTCTTTAAGGCTATGTCATATTGAAATAGATGCATACAATTATACAAGGCCACAAGCAATCAAATTGAATAATTGTGGATTCCACTTCAATTGATACATTTAAGGTAAATACTCCCGGAAGGTTCAGGTCATTGGTGAAGATGGGACAGAAAGAATCTAAGTGCCCGAGGACCTGTGAGTTTGCTGTGAGATTATGTCTCTTAGGAATGTCATACATTATTCACAAAGACACATAATGTCTGATCAACATGACTTCATAAATATGAGCAGAACTAGAAAGACAGCAATAGGCATGCAGATGTGAATGACAAACCTCAATAGACCTCAACCATATGAGGAATACAGGAAACAAAGTAAAGCTGCCAGAGGAAGAAAAAGTCTTCCATGAGGCAGAGCACATTAAATGATTTGTAAGACAAAATGGTATTCATATACAATTTAGGATTGTATATTTATATGTATTTGTATACATGGATCATATAGTACATAATTTATCTGGTATAATTGAAATTGTATGTATAGGTTATACATTATATAAGGTATATATTATGTATAGGAATTATACATACATTTATATTCCTAATATGTACTCACAGGTATTTGAATGTATATATGTAACAACAAATTACAAAAATAGTTCATGAGTTTGAAATAGAGAAAGAATAGGTATTCAGGATCATTTAGTCTCAGAGAAGTGAAGGGAAAATGATGCAATTCCACTATAATATGAAAAATAGCAATGCAGTTCTATTAATTGGCATTTAAAGTTGATTTTTATCTTCTATATTTCTAAGGTTGTTCCTTAGCTTTCCTTAGCAAGTAAGTAAATATGTTGTGAAATTAATTATCTTTCAATTCATATCAAATGCTTTTTTAAAGGTTTGTCCTCTACAGCTGGGAATCCCACATGGAACCAGAGTAGACTTTCTGCATATGGGAGATGATTGTGTATCTGGGTCTGTTTGAAGGGCCCTTGGCACTGTGATCAGGATCTATCCCTGGTGCAGGAACTGGCTTTCTGGATCCCATCACCTGTGGTGGGACACCCTGCTCACCCTTGATGCGGCCAGGCATGGCTTGGTCCTCCCGCAACCAAATGTCCTCCCATGGGAGAAATTGCACTGTTGGAGGAGAGGATGAACTTACCCTGTTGGAGGTGGGTTAGGGAGGGGAAATGTGGGGGTGGGGCAGAAGGAGAGAAGAGAGGGGGGTCTGAGGTTGGCATGTAAAATGAATAAAAAAGAGAGAGTACTCCAAATATGTTAGCCAAGGGAACATGTGTTAAGGCTAGCCCCCTCCAAAGAATAAAGATGCTTGAGCAAAGGTGAATCTGGACAATAAAATCAATAGAGAGTAAAAAACAAATTACCCTTTAATTAAAACAATGGAATACATTAATTTATTCTTGATGACAATGAATTCTTACTCTCAGCTTTAATCTAAGTAAAAAATGAGACTAAAATTTCTCACTGTATACAAATTATTTTGTATTACAAACATGTTGAAAATAATAATTTATTCAGTTTAACTATGGGACAGGTGAGCCAATAATTCTACTAACATTCTGTGCTGACTAACATATTGTGTAAAAAACATGATGCATTTTTCTGATGCTTCCAAGATACACATGTCACAATCAAAGTCACTCATTGTATACTTTAAAAAGATTATAAGATATTTCCAGAAAATGCATCTAAGACAAATGCAGGCATAGTTGTTTTTATATGATATGATAAAATAAATTTCAAACCCAAACTAAACAGAATAGGTTGAGAAGGATATTACGTAATAATCAAGGGAAAACATAGTGAAAACATACAACAATTCTAAACATTGCATCAAGTGCCAGGCACAAAATTGTGTAAAAGGAACAGTGTTCCTGCTAAAATCACATACTGATACGAACACAGTGACACTAAGTGACATCAATACCCTAATCACACAAATAGAGTGGTCTAAGAGATGTAATCTAAACACAGAAACACTGGAGATAGATAGCATCATGAATCAAAATCATGACAGATATCTATGGAATACAACAACCAAACACTAAAGAATATTCCTTTTTCCAAGAATTCACAAAGCTTCCTCCAAAACTGACCACAAAGAAGTAATAAACAAGTCTCCACAGTTATAAGAAAATTGAAATAATATCATAGACTATATCCTACCACCATGAATTAAAGCTGGATATCAACAATACCAGCAGGAAATATACAAACTCATGGAAGCTGAACAACTCACTACTGAATGAACAGTGGGTCAAGACAGAAACCAAGAATGAAAATGAAAACACAGCATATCCAAACAATGAGACACAAGGTAGGCAGTTCTAAGAGGCAAGTTCAAAGCACTGAATGCCTACATAAAAATAATGGATTGATTTCTTATTAATAATTATATTACACATTTGAAATCTCTAGAAAAACAGTATTTGAAAATAGTAGGTAAAAAGAGATAAGAGGACTGAAAAAATCAGAAATGTGAAAATCAAGGATGAAATCAATGAGATAGTAAAAAACAGCATCTAGATAAACCAAATGATGAATAAAAGGAATGAAAGGTTGTTCCCTCAAAAATCAAGCAGATGACAAGGCCTTACACAAATTAGTCAACAAAATGAGAGAGAATATCTAAATTAATGAAGCTACATATGAAAGAGATGACTTTACAACAGATCCTGAGGAAACTGAGAGAATCATGAGGGCATACTTGTGGGAACCACACTGACTCAAGCTTGTGGCTTGTTTCCATCTTGACTTAAGGTCAGAGAGTTCAAGCTTGTCTTTGCTCCTCAAGGTTGAATGACAGGATGTTTGGACAAAGGCGTGATTACTAGATGTTTTGATAATAAGTTGTTTATGCTAGTTCTTCCTTGAACCATGGTGAGGAGGTCTTTTGCCCCCCCTTGCTTTGTGTATAAGGAAAATACTTTGCAAAATAAATTTGGGGCTACTGCTGTATTCATTGAGAGCCCTCCCAATTCTATCCTTGGTCTCTTGTTTTGTTTTTCTTATTCTACACTCCGCCTTTCAGGTACTGTTGGACAGGTCAGTTGGTCCTGACATGTGGTGCCCAAATAGGGGATCTGAAAATGGGGGGCTTCATGAAGGACACTCAGGTGAATGGAGCACTCAGATATTATTAGAGTGGAAGTG